AAAAAAAAAAAAATTAGCCAGGTGTGGCAGTGTGCCCATAGTCCCAGCTACTCGGGAGGCTGAGGCAGTAGAATCGCTTGAATGGGTAGGTGGAGGTTGCAGTGAACCAAGATCGCGACACTGTACTCCATCCTGGAGACATAGTGAAACTCTGCCTAGAAAAAAAAAAAAATTAGAAAAAAGAAGATTAAAAAAAGAAGAAGATTCAACCTCAGAAGGTGTAAAGAAAAAAAAATGGTAAGTTGTTGCAATCTCTCATTTCACTCTAAATATTACTTTTTGTACCTAACTTTGTACTTTTTTTGTTTGTTTGTTTTTGAGATGAGGGTCTCAATCTATTGCCCAGGCTGGTCTCAAACTCCTGGCCTCAAGCAGTCTTCTGGCCTTGGCTTCTCAGAGCGCTGGGATTATAGGCCTGTGCCACAACACCTGGCCATATTTCTCCTTAAACACTTAAACAGTTGTTTCCCTCCCCACCTCCCCCTTCTAGATTATTTAAGCTTCAGACCCCCAAACCTAGGGCTGGATCATTTTCTGGAGCTTCCTGCTCCAGTGCAGATGTGGCCTATGATGTCCCCCACCCCATTCCCAGCGTGTCCATGCCAAAGAGTGTCTGTGGGGGTCTCCGTGTGTTTGCACACCTCTGTGTCAGCGTGGGCCTTTGTCTGTGTACATTTGTGGCTGTGTCCGTGCACACCATGGCCTAATGGCCTGTGTGTGGGGATCTGAGCCTCCAGCTTCTTCCTGGCTGTTCTTTCAACAGTGGGCCACACTGGGGCTTCAGGGAGGGGAGGGAGCTCGAGTCCCACAGGCGCTGGGCTTAAGGAACTCCGGGTGTGGGGAAGGAACGGAGTACAGCCGGTAGAGTGACCCAGCCTCCCTTCCCACTTTGTGAAGTCTCCCCAGTCCTGGCTTCCAAGGCTCAGCTCCTCCCTCTTCAGTTCTTCCAAAGGAAGGCTGGCTTCCTGGGACCCCCTGGGCCCTGGATAGGGAGAGTTCCTGGAGGGGTGGGTCCTGGGGGATTGGGGGTTGGGAAGTAGGAGGACCGGGACCCTGGGCCTAGGAAAGACCAGAATAGATGCTCTCCAGGCCCACAAGGCAAACTTCGGGTCCTGCCCCACTCAGCTTGCCTTGGGTGGTAAAACCAAAGAAAAAAGAAGGGGCAGCGCAGACCCAGGCAGAGAAAATGGGGCAGTGAAACCACTTAAGGAACTGTAAAGCCTCCCAGACACAAAAGGCCTGGATCCCTGAACCTCCTTCATCCTTCAGCACATATTTACAGGGTACATACTGTGGGCCTCGGTCTGTCCTAGGCCCTGGGGATATAGCCCCAAAAGAAAAGGACTATGATCTCTACCCAAATGAAACAGACAATGATCTCTGGCCTTATGAGTCATACATTCTTTTAGAGGAAACAGTCAATGTACATTACACAAAACATATCATTTGTTAGATGGTGCCATAGAAAAAAATTAAGCATGGGCCAGGCGCGGTGGCTCATGCCTATAATCCCAGAACTTCAGGAGGCCAAGATGGACAGATCACCTGAAGGCAGGATTTCGAGACCAGCCTGGCCAGCATGGTGAAACCCCTTCTCTACTAAAAATACAAAAGTTAGCCAGGCATGGTGACGCATGTCTATAATCCCAGCTATTCGGGAGGCAGAGGTGAAGCAAGAGAATCGCTGGAACCCGGGAGGCGGAGGCTGCAGTGAGCCGAGATCATGCCACTGCACTCTAGACTGGGAGCAAGAAAAAAAAAAAAAAAAAAAAGGAGTAGACTATAATGGAACTAGGAACAAGAATGGAAGCCAGGAAACAACTTAAGGGATATTGCAATAATCTAGGTGAGAGATGAGGGCGGCTTGGACCATGGTGTAATGGTGAAGATCATGGCAAATAGTCTAATGCTGGACTTTTTTCCTTCTTTTTTTTCAAGACAGCATCTCACTCTATCACCCAGGATAGAGTGCAGTAGTGTGATCACTGCTCACTGCAACCTCAACCTCCTGGGTTCAAGTGATACTCCCTCCTCAGCCTCCCAAGTAGCTAGGACTGCAAGCATGCTCAGCTAATTTTTTTTTTTTTAAATTTTCACCAAGACTGGGGTCTTGTAAGGTTGCTCAGGCTGGTCCCGAACTCCTGGACTCAAGAGATCCTCCTGCCTTGGCCATCCAAAGTGCTGGATTAAAGGTGTGAGTAACCACACCTGGCCCTAACATATTTTAAATAGAAATTGTTCATTTGATGTAGAGTGGGAGAGAAAGAGAACAATCAGGGATGATCCTAAGGTTTTTAGTCTAACCAACTGAAGGAATGGAATTTCCATTTACTGAGATGAAAGGGCCACAGGTGAAGGAGGTTTGGGGGAGAAGCCTAGGAGTTTCGTTTGCACATTTTAAGTTTGTGGTCTGTATTAGGTTTCCAAGTGTAGACGATATGTGGGCAATAATATATAAGCATCTGTAATTCAGGGAAGAGTTCTGGAGCTAGTGATGAAAATCTGGGCTTTATTAATGTATTACCTGATATTTAAAGGCATGAAACTGAAAATGATCAAGGTAGTGGGTACAGATAGAGAAGAGGTTGGAAAATTGAGCCTTGGGAAACAGCCCAACATTTAGAGACCCAGAGGTGAGAAACCAGCAAAGGACGCTGAGAAAGAGCTGCTGATGAAGTAGAAGGAATATGAGAAGGGCGCAGTGTCCTAAAAGGCAAGCCAAGAGAGTGTTTGTTTTTTTCTACACACACACACACACACACCACAAAGGGAGTGCTTCTAAGGGAAGAGTGAGCATCAGTTTCAAGTGCAGCTAAGTAGTGGTCAATAGAATTAGCAATGTGGTGATCATTTGGCAACCTTAACGAGGGCAGTTTTGATGGGGGTGGGGGACGCCTGATTGGAAAGGGTCCAAATGAGAATGGAAAGATGGAATTGGATAACTTGCTTTGCTTGCTGTAGAAGGGAGCAGAGAAATTGAGTGGTAGCTGGACGGGCATGTGGGGTCAAAATAACTTTTGTTGTCTTGCTTCTAAATTGGGTGAAATTAGAGTTTGCAGGCTGATGAGAAAAATCAAGTAGAAAGGGATTTTTTTTTTTTTTTTTTTTGAGATTAAGTTTT